GACTCCCAGGAGGTGGAATCATCTGTGGGGTCATCAAGGTGAGAAGGTGTAGAAGTCTGGAAACCCCTTCTAGGTTGGAAGTCCAGTCTCTGTGGTCTGCATGGGGCAGTCTGTCCACAGAAGCCAAGAGGGTAGCCAGTGGACGCTGTTAGAGACTGTTCTTGTGTCTCAGAAGATGCAGAGGCTCTGGCTTCTAGAATGGTGTGTGCTGTTCTGAAATAGTTGATCCCTCAGTCTAGATTGGGGAAGGGGCCCCTTGTGGCCTGGAGGGAGCATGATAAAGATAGATTGACTGTTGATTTTGGAAGTTGTGGGTGTGAAAAGATCTTGTCCAGACAGGGGCGACACCAGGTTATGAGGAGGTTCAGGGGTTGGCTCTGTGTTTGGAGAAGTTCATGAACCCCGTGTCAGAGGCAGCTCGCTATGTGGGAGGAGCCCAGGTTTGCTGTTTGACAAGTTTGAGTTGAAGTCACAGCTCTGTCACTTCCTGGCTGTGTGATTTGGGGCAAAGTAGTGAATTTTTCTGAACTTTAATTTCATTCTTTGAAAAATGGGGGTAAATAACTCTGACTTCATATTGTGTTGTAAAGAGTAAATGACAGACAAGATTTAGAAGTACCCACCCAAGAGCCTGGTGCCTAGGGTCTAGTCTATGAATATGAGTTCTCGTCACTCTTGGGATGATGGAGGTGGCCCGGGAAGACAGAGAGGAGTGAACTTTCACGAGTGGGATGAAGCGCAAGACACGGGGCAGGGGATGTGCCTGTGCCTAGAGACAGCACACAGCCAGCCCTCTCTGAAGATGTGTGGTTCAGAGAGGAGGCCAGAATAGGCAGGCTGCAGGTTTCCTTCAAGAGAGCTGGCTTTCTAATATGGTAAGAAGGACTGAAAAGGAATTTGTGAAATATTAGGAGTGTTTTTTAAGAAATGTTTATTTCATATTGTGATATAGTTGATCAACAATGTGTTAGCTTCAGGTACACAGCACAGCAGTTCAGTTATACGTATTCAAGTATCTATTCTTTTTCAGATTCTCTCCCTATATTGGTTATTGCAGAATATACAGCAGTTCCCTGTGCTGTGCAGTGGGCCTTTGTCAGTTATCTCTTTTAAACATAGTAGTGTATACATGTCAGTCCCAAACTCCCACTCTTTCCCTCCCCACTGACCTTCCCCTCTGGTAACCACAAATTCCTTCTCTAAGTCTGTGAGTCTGTTTCTGTTTAGTTCTTTTGTATCTTGTTTTTCTTTTTAAAGATTCTGCATATAGGCTATATCATATGATTCTCTCTCTCCATCTGACTGACTTAACTCAATATGACCATCTCTAGGTCCATCCGTGTTCCTGCAGATGGCATTATCTTATTCTTTTTTTATGGCCAAGTATATTCCATTGTGGGCTTCCCAGGTGGCTCAGTGGTACAGAATCCGCCTGCCAATGGAGGAGACGCAGGAGAACTGCCTGGAGGAGAAAATGGCAACCAGTCCAGTATTCTTGCCTGGTAAACCCCATGCACAGAGGAGCCTGGTGGACTACAGTGCTTGGGGTCACAGGAGAGTCAGACATGGCTGAATTACTAAACATCAGCAACAATATTCCGCTGTATATATGTACCACTCCTCCACTGATGGACATCTAGGTTGCTTCCGTGTCCTGACTGTTGTAAACAGTGCTGCAGTGAACACTGGGGTACATGTATCTTTTTGAATTACGGTTTTCTCTGGATATATGTCCAACAGTGGGATTGCTAAATCATTTGGTAGCTCTATTTTTGTTTTGTAAGGAGCCTCTGTACTCTTCTCCACAGAGGCTGTACCAGTGTACATTCCCATCAACAGTGTAGGGAGGTTCACTTTTCTCCATACCCTCTCCAGCATTTATTGTTTGTAGATATTTAGGTGATGGCTGTTCTGAACAGTGTGATTCCTCATTGCAGTTTTGACTTGCATTTCTCTAATAGTCTCTCTAAAGATGCTGAGCATCTTTTCACATGCCTCTTGGCCATGTGCATGTCTTTTTTGGAGAAATGTCTGTTTGTATCTTCTGCCCATTTTTGATTGGATTTTTTTTTTTATTGAATGCATAAGCTGTTTGTAAATTTGGAAGATTAATCCCTTGTCAGTCGTATTGTTTACAGATATTTTCTCTCACTTTGGGTTTTTGCTGTGCAAAGGCTTTTGAGTGTGATTAGATTCCGTTTGTCTATTTTTGTTTTTCTTTTCATTACTCTGGGAGACGAACTGAAAAAAAAACATAGTTCAGATGAAACTGAACTATGTTTTCCTTTAGATCTTTAATCTATTTTGATTTTGTTGTTATACATCATGTCAGAGAATGTTCTGATTTCATTTTTTTATTTTTAATGTGTAGCTGTACTGGGGCTATTTCTAAGGAGTGGCTTCTCTGTGTGTAGTGGAAGCTGGTGGGGAAGGCCAAGGAGAAACTGGATCAGGGAATGCGTGCGGTGGTGTACATGTGCTTTGGCTGAGAGGAGACGGGGAGAGTAGTTGGGGTACAGAGAATAAGGTGACAGGTTATGGGTACCTCAGGGCAGTGGGTCCTAGAGAGACAGCTCCATGGAGACAGGGACATAAGCGGTTGATATAGTCACAGCCTGGAGAGCCCCGGATGCCAGGCTGTGAGGTTGGGATGAGTTTGGAGCTGCAGAGCTGAGCAGGCGGGACAGCCTTGGCGTTCCACATTTGAAGGTGGGAGCCAGTGCTCTTGTCCATAGAACAGGCCTTCCACGGGGCTCAGTCACAGACCTTGGCAGGTCCACCTCTTCCCAGAAGCTCACACTGGCCCCCTCTCGCCCTCACTCAGAGCTTGAGCAGGAACCTGTTGTTTCAGGAGCCAGTGACCTTTGAGGACGTGGCTGTGTACTTCACCCAGAACCAATGGGCCAGCCTGGACTCTGCACAGAGGGCCCTGTACAGGGAGGTGATGCTGGAGAATTATGCAAACGTGGCTTCCCTGGGTAAGGTCTCTCAGTGGCCCTCTGATAGTTGATGTCCTCCTCAATTGTCTTGGAGGTTCTAGTAGTCCTTAGGGTTCTGTGGAGATGCTGGGTGGGGAAATCCCAGGTTCCTTCTGGCTTTGAAGGAAAGGACTCTTGGGGTGCCCCCAGGAGGCCTCAGTGCCTCCGTCCTTGCAGTGTTGTGGATGTGGGCCCTCTCCTGTGTGCAGGAGCCTCCCAGGATCTCAGTACATTCATCCTTCCTGAGGGGATGTCCTTTCTTCTGAGTCAGGGTGAGCTTGCACTTTCTCCCTGGGGAGAATCACGGTCTCCCTGATCTTTCCACGGAGTGTAGTTTGGAGCCCTTCCTCAGAACCCCTGTGTGGCTCATTGATCCCCCAGGCAGTCCCCTTCTCCCCCCAGCTCAACTTGCCTGCCTTGGGGTGGGCAGAGGGATCTCAGTAACAGCTCTGGATGTCTCCCATCAACCTGTCTGTCTCTGTTTCTTGCTGGAGTAGTGTCTCCATTCCCCAGACCCGATCTGATCTCCCAGCTGGAGAGAGGGGAAGCTCCATGGGACCCCAATCCCTGGGAAGCAGAGGATTTGAGAGGCATCTGTCCAGGTGAGTAAGGGGACTTAGCACCTTCTGGTTTCGCCTTCCTGGTTTACTGGAAATGTTTCTTCTGCAGTGGAGAGCAAAGCTCCCTGTAGCTGACTCGGTCACTCACTGACCTGTATTGAGTTCCTGTTCCTAACCTGTAAGGATGGTTTTCATGGCGGGGTGGTAGGGTTTCGGCCATACTTTAAGGAAAGTGTGATTCTGTGCATCAGACTGATTGATTTGTACCATAGCTATGATTTTATTTGCCTTTTCAGTGTTTATATCATTTTTAGTATTTTAAAGTTCCATAATGTTGTGATTTACCATGAATTTGTTTTAAATGGGGCCATAGAAGAAAGGGCAAGACTATTCCTCCAGTACCACACTCTCAAGACACATCCACCCATCCTAAAATTTCCAGAGTCTGCTTACCTGTCAGTCCTGGAAGGTTTTAATTACTTGGGTTTTCTTTACTTTAGGAAGAAACTTTTCAGGTCTCACTTCTCACACATACTGTAATGTAAAAAGTGATTCTTTTAGTGGTGACACCACAGTGGCCTACAGTTCTCCAATCACCTTATGTTCCCTCTGACTTCCTAAAAGAAAGAATCTTTTATCCCAGAATATTATGTGAAATATTTAAAGTAGAATCATCTGGCTGTTACTTAGAATTCAGAATTGGGGGTGGTTTCCTGGCTTCCAGGTGGGGCATTGGGATCCATCGTTTCTCTGTTGGTGTTTCCGGGCTGCTAGCTGCTCCCCTTCGTCTCAAGGATGTCTTTTCCCTCCTTGAGGGTCTCTCTCTCTCTCTCTTTTAAAGCCTGTTTGCATTTCGTGCTGGTCTGTCTTATCTCTGCCATTCTTTTTTCCCCTCCTGCTTCCTTTCCTTCCCACTCTTGAAGTTCTCATTTGCCCACCTCACCTTCCCTGGTTCATTCCCCAGCCCTTCCTTAAAAGAGGCACTTCCTGGACTGCAGTGTCATCACTTGTCCAGTTTATGCTGTTGTTTTTGCTTATGTCTCTCATCCTCCTTTATGGAAACTCATAACCATCTCATGGTATATTTTTGAAGTATCACATCCTGTAAGAAAAAACCAGGACTGCTGGAACCCGTTTCCCTTCCAGTTCAGTAATGAGGAAACTTGTGGTTTCTTTGGTCAGGTGGTGAGAGGGGCATCAAGACAGAAGAGCCGGCAGTAGAGCAGCACGCCTCTGCGGGCACAGAGGCCCACGGCAGGCCCGTGGGAGGGCTTCTCACGAACGTGTCTCAGCACTTGGATTTTGAAAGCAAGGCAGTGTGGCAGACTTTCAGTCTGAATCCCAATCTGATACTCCGAGGCGGCATGAAGTTCTACAAATGTAAAGAATGTGGCAAGATCTTCCGATACAACTCAAAGCTCCTTCGGCATCAGAGGAGCCACACTGGGGAAAAGCCCTTCAGGTGCAAGGAGTGTGGCAAAGCTTTCAAGTCCAGCTACGACTGTATCGTACACGAGAAAAATCACATTGGTCAAGGACCCTATGAATGTAAGGAGTGTGGCAAAGGTCTGAGTTCCAACACTGCCTTGACCCAGCACCAGAGGATCCACACGGGGGAGAAGCCCTACACATGTAAGGAGTGTGGCAAGGCTTTCCGTCGGAGCGCCGCCTACCTGCAGCACCACAGGCTACACACGGGGGAGAAACTCTATAAATGTAAGGAGTGTTGGAAAGGCTTTGGGTGTAGGTCACTTTTTATCGTCCACCAACGCATCCACACTGGGGAGAAACCCTACCAGTGTAAGGAGTGTGGGAAGGCGTTCAGCCAGAAGATCGCCTGCATTCAGCATCAGAGAGTTCACACCGGAGAGAAGCCCTATGAGTGTAAGGTGTGTGGGAAAGCCTTCAAGTGGTACGGCAGCTTTGTTCAGCATCAGAAAGTGCACCCCGTGGAGAAGAAGCCCATCAAGGCTCTCGGGCCGCCCCTGCTGCGTCCCCAGGGCCCATCTGCACCGTTAGCTCCCGGGTGTCTCCAGGGCCCTGGCTCTGCTCCTGCTGTGGCCGTGGCCTTGCCACACGCCGTCCTCATTCCTGCCTCCGGGCCCGTGTTCATGCTGCTGCCCGCCTCTGGGGTTCTTTCGTCCCCTGTCCAAGTAGTTCGTGTCTTCCAGGGTCTTCCTCCCGCTGTGAAGCCTTCCCCAGTTATTCTGACCTCTTCTCCTCACCCTCCGTGACCTCTGTCTTGGCACTTCTCTGGCTGTTATAGCAGATTTCTAACCTACCTTCAGCTTGATCTGTAGCTTTTACACTGTACCTGTATTCCTACTATCTCAGCATAAACTCCATTGTAACTGAGATATATTTAAAGACTGTGTTTGTATAATATATTCTTTTTTCTTCTGGGTAGAAAATGGAAACACTTGACTTTCATATTGGTCCCTTTCAGACTTGAACAGTAATGGCCATATCTGTATCCTGGGGCTGCTGGTTTGAGAAGTGCTGGTAGGACGCCGTGGTGAATTAGGCACCTTTGAGATAGGACATCCCCATATAAGCCCCCTGTGATGTGAGAGAAGCTGCCTGTGAGAAACAGGCATGTAAGATATGTCAGAGTTTAGAAGTGGCATCAGCTTCCAACCAGGGCCTTTAAAAATAAATGCAGGTGGTTCAGTGGCTGAAGGTGTGATGTATTCATGCAGGTGAAGTTGGGTTGTCCTAGACACAGACCGTTGAGGCTCTTGTACGTCTCTGCTAAAAATCATGTGAAATAACCAGTTAGAAACCATATGTGGCTTCCCTGGTGGCTCAGTGGTAAGGAATCCCCCTGCCAATGCAGGAGACGTGGGTTTGATCCCTGGTCCGGGAAGATTCCCACATGCCGCGGGGCAACTAAGCCCAAGCGTCACAACTCCTGAGCCTGCTCTCTAGAGCCTGCGAGCCCTAGAGCATCAGCAAGAGAAGCCACTGCAGTGAGAAGCCCATGTACTGCAGCTGGAGAGTAGCCCCCAGCTCGAGAAGAGCCCGTGCAGCAGTGAAAACCCAGCACAGTCAAATCCAAGTAAGTAATAATAGCACTAGATGTGTGCAGTGATAACAATCATTTATATGATTGAGAGCAATCAGGTCTTGAAACATGAACTTGTTTTTGATCTTTAGTTTTGCTCTTGATACCTAGTTGTTTCTTTCTTTTCTTTTTTTTTTTTTAAGCAAATGAACTTTTTAAAAATTTATTTGGCCATTCCAGGTCTTCACTGTGCACAGGCGCTTCTATAGCTGTGACACATGGGTGTAGTTGCCCCGTGGTATGTGGGATCTTAGTTCCATGACCAGAGATTGAACCCAGGCCCCTTTGCATTGGGAGCTCGGAGTCTTAGTCACTGGACCACTTTGGAAAGTCCCTGGTCGTTTCCTTTTAAATTTGGTTTCTTTAGTACGTGTACACCAAGACATTAATCTTTGCTCCATCTGTTGTGTAAATTTTTCTTAGTGGGCATTTTGGCTTCCTATTTGCAAGCAGTGCTGGTTTCTGCACTTTTCTCCAGATAGCATAAATTATAAATATGAGTATGGCAAATTACTAAAGAAATAGGAGCAGGCAATCTGGGGAAAATCTGAATATACCTGTGGAATTTTTTTTTAATAATTTTTATTTATTTTTGTTTGCATTGGGTCTTTGTTGCTGCACGTGGGCTTCATCTAGTTGTGTGTGGGCTTCCCACTTCAGTGGTTTCTCTTGTTGCAGAACATGGGCTCTAGGGTGCTTTGATTCATGGTGACACATGGCCTTAGTTGCCCCGTGGTATGTAGAATCCTCCCAGACCAGGGATCAAACCTGTAACCCACCAGACTCCTCTGTCCCGCACTGTCTCCTGAAGTTAGCTCAATACATGTCCACTGATCAGTGATGCTATCTAAACATTTCATCGTCTGCTGCCCCCTTTTCATTTTGCCTTCAAGCTTTCCCAGCATCAGGGTCTTTTCCAATGAGTTGGCTCTTCACATCAGGTGGCTAAAGTAGTGGAGTTTCAGCTTCAGCATCAGTCCTTCCAGTGAATATTCAGGACTGATTTCCTTTAGGATTGACTGATTTGATCACCTTGCAGTCCAAGGGACTCTCAAGAGGTTGTGACAGGTTAGTGAAGTACAGTTTTAGATTGGTCTTGCTTTTGGCCTTAAATGAGGTCTTTTATAACTATGCAAAGGACTATGTGAAGTAATTTCTGGGAAAAGAACTTGAGTTATGCATTACAGGCACAGCTTATTTTACTGTGCTTCATTGTATCTGTTTCGCAGACACTGTAAATTTTACAAATGGAAGGTTTGTGGCAGCACTGCATTATCATATAATGGCTAAGATATTTTAGCAATAAAGTATTTTTTAATTAAAGTTTTTCCTTTTTTTTTTCCCTGACTTAATACTGTTATACACTTCATAGACTATAGTGTAAACAACTTTTATATGCACTGGGAAACCAGAAAATTCATGTGACTTGCTTTCTTGCTGTATTTAGTTTATCATGGTGGTCTGGAACCCAACCCACAGTATCTCCAAGGTATGCCTTTATTAACACAAACTTAAAGTAAATCCTTAAATGTTCATGGAAAGTTGCTTTTCTATCTACATGTTTCTACCTTGCAATCAGTGCTGCTTAAATTTTGCCATATGTCTGAATAACCTGGTGTAAAATGAGTAATTTTCTGGCCTCTCAGAGATTGATTTTATAAACACTTCTTATTGGAATTTAATTGATTTACAGCGTTGTGTTGGTTTCTGCCCTAAGCAAGGTGTCTGATTGTGGATATCCATGGTGATGCCCAGCCCTTGCGTGTGGACCACGCTTTGAGAGACTGCCTTGAGCAGAAGCTGTCTGGGGGCGTACATTGATAAAGGGCTTGCTCTGTTTCTCAGTGGTCTGAGACCTCTACAAGTAGTTTGGGTGGTGTCAGTTTAGAAGGAGAGAGAACAGCAAGTGGAATTGATCTGTAGGGAAGAAGAAGGAAGGGGAAAGAGATCTGATGTGGCCTATGGAGTCCTTGAGTTCTCCCCTGCCTGGAAGTTCCTGAGGTAGACTGTGGCTGGGTTTTGCTGTTTTTGTTGTTTACTTGCATGTTGGCTGAAAGAACATTTTTTTCCTTACATAAATTAATACACTTTAAAATAGCTCCTGAGTTAAAGAGAGCACAAAGTGGATGCTGCAGATGGTTTAGAAATGAACAACAGTAGTCAGGATACTTAGCGGGGTCTATGCAATGTGGCAGAAGGTGGAACAAAGAGCAAGGTTTACAGTCTTGGATGCATTCTTTAGAAAACTAGTTTGAAGACTTGCAGTTCAGAAAATTTGGGCTGGTGGTAGTGGTGGGAGCCAAAAAAATTAACCAGAAACTAAAACCAAACAAATAGACCCCTCCTCCTCCAGTAAACTTTGTGGAAATAAGATGCACAGTGTAGTTTTGTAAAGATGGTGGTTGAACATGTTGACATTCACACCCTCCTGAAACCCCATTAAGAAAAATGAATTAAAAGTTAAAAGACATAAACTCAGAAGGACAGTGAAAATAAGCTGATGATAACACTTTGGAAGCTCGAAATCAGATGAAAGAGTTGTGACTTGGAGCAGAGCTGAGAAAAGTAAATCCTAAGCCACATTGCAGGGAGCTGAGCAGTGCCCTCATGTGGCAGAAAAGCTTAGGAAAGACTCAGATAACTTCTGGAAATGTATGGGGATGCTAATGGGGCAAAGAACAGGAAAATTGGCTTAAAGTCTTTCTTAAAGACTTAGATTCTGGGTCACCTCCCCACTTTTCTCTCCTCGCTAGCAGTGTAGCAGGAATTTTGGGTGTCAGGGAACCACACTGAATGTTAAGTCCTTCCTGCTCTGACCAAAACCTCCTCACTTCTGGAGGATGCTGCTTCCCCAGCACCATCCCTCACATCACATATTCTGGGTTCTCTTTGTCAGTTTCAGGCCATTCTTTACCTCTCACTTAGCCCCCAAACCACCTCCACCTTTGAATCCTGTCATCAGGCTGGAACCTCTGGGTCACGTGCCCTTTGTTCCTTGAAGGTGTTAGTGCATCACCTGCTCTCACTCTGTTCAGCATTAGTCTTAATTCTTGGTGTTTTCAGTGGATGAGCCTGCCAGCAGCTCACCTCTCATTTTCCTTCTTACCCTTTCATTTTTACCTGAACCACTGCTTTGATTGCGTCCTAGACCTTACCATTTTAAAACTTCACCCCTCTGTAACCTCAGCACTTTAAATGTCTTGCTCTGTGACCTGTCTCTCCAGTTTCTTCCTTTTAGAATCCTGATGCTAACAGTCCCTCGGCTCCCACTGTTTCCTGCTTTCACTGCCCTTCGCTTCCTTCATGCCTGTTCTTTCTTTATCCCGCTTAAAGTCCATGGTCAGTTATTACAGCAGTTCCTCCACATTCCCCTTTAATGGCCTTGCCCTTTTCTGGCTTTGGTATATACTCATTTGGCAAGACCCCATCTTTGACTAAATGCAGTTCTTTGCCTTCTTTGTGCCTGCATCCATGCTACCAGAAGTGGTCAGGAGAAAGCACATTGTCCTGTGGAATTATCCTGCTTGAGGCTCATGACAAGTAACTTCAAGTAGGCCCTCAGTGCCTCCTATAGTCATACTGTATCTCCAGGGTTCCCTTCATGTTCCTGTCTGCTGCTCTGCACTCCTCTCTCAAACCTCCCAGTACCTCCTGCCCAGTCCTCACCAGCCTCAGCTGATACATTCTGCTCTCTGCTGGGATAACTGAGCTCCAGGGAGTGGCTGTGGCTTCATCCCTGGTGCCAGAATGAAAAGACACAGATGGGCCCTACCTCATCTCTTCCACTTTTCAACTTGCAATATCTAATCTTCTACCACCCAGTTCTCATCTCATGTACTAAGGCAGTTCTGTCACAATCAGCAACTCGCTTCTACTTCCTAATTCTCGTCAGTGTGCAGTTTCAGACAACAGAATCTTTTTGGGGTTTTTTTTTTTTTTTTTCGGCCACACCATGTGGCTTATAGGATCTTAGTTCCCCAACCAGGAATTGAACCTGGGCCCATAGTAGTGAAAGCATAAAGTCTTGTCCATTGGACCATCAGGGAATTCCCCAGAATCCATTGCAACACGTTTAAGCACAGAGGGATTTGCTACAAACCACTAGACAGCTTACAGAATTCCCAAAAAGGAACCAAGCTGGGCTCTCACATATGCAGATGCCCAGAAAAG